TTCCTGAACTGGAAACTTCATTAACAGGTGGTGCCAAATCAGGTAACAAGATAGTAGTAGCTTTATAGTATATGGTGTACATATATCTTTCTACATCTAAACTCTTTTTTACTTCTTTATTGTTTCAGCCTTTGGGAGGCGTCTGGTATCTGCGGGAAAAAGATTCAAGGGCATGGGACAGTATGGTCAAGGTGAATTACAGAAGGTACAGCCTGAGATGGTAGTAGGTGTGATTTCTTTTACTTATTGTTTGATTACGATTCATCAGATTACCAATCTTAACTTATCAAATTTAACCGCCACAATAATACAATCTATGGTTCGTCTGTATGGATCAACCAAATGCCTACAAGAACTAACGTTGCTGAGAACTCGCAGATTGCTAAAGCCATGATTACAACTGGAGAGGTCCTGTCTGCAAATACATCACCTGCCTCAGTCGGTAATGAATCCATGTCAAACACAAGAATGTTTAAGGTAATGCTTAATAATATGATTTCTCCTCTACGTTCACTGAAGCAACTTTTTAAAGATGAGATTTTTTTTTTCTCCTGTTTGAAACTGCAGTTTGGGGAGCTTCAGGTTGCTGTGAGTCCAGAGAAAGCATACGCCGGAGCTGCCATTGCATTTGTGTTTGGGTATGTGTGGAGATCTTGTTTATTACTTCTTGAGAACTGTCGCTTAACAACATTGTAAAACAGTTCATACTTGGAATTGTACAGGATTCTTTCATGGCAAATCAGTCAGGGAATCCAAAGCACACCGGAGAACTCATTGCAGTATGCAAATGAGAATGCATTGCTACTCGCAAAGGTTTGTGGCGTTATACTTGCATTCTCTTGTTTTGAGGGTTAACATTTGTGTCATGTGTTTTTTTTTTGTTCTTCTTCTGGGCAGTCTCTAAGAGGGTCTCTTCTAGCTATGTTTTATGCGTCAGCCGTCTTGTCAGGCTTCACAACAGCTGGACTCCTCCTTCTCGCTAAGCAGCTTTCATCAGAGAAAGACTCATAATCCTTCTCTAATATGAATCATGTTTATTGTATCTACTACAATCTATAGTTCTGTCTATTAAAACTGTGGAATGGGTTGAGTTGTATTTTGTACTAGAGCAAATGAATTCTCTTTGACACGGGTGATTGAAGTTGATCAAGCAATAGTTAAACAAATTGATGCTTCAGGATAAATATACATATGAAATTATGGAGAACGATTGGATGAATGAAAGTATGAAACGATACCTGTTTACTCATGCTTTTCATATACAAAAACTCATTTACCCTTCTCACCTTAATATCCAAACATGGGCTAAGCTCTCTTTTTCCAAATCCGTTATGGTGGTATTACCTTTGACCGACCAAATGTTTAACATTTTCCGATGACTTGGTTTCAGTTTTTCTTTAACTGTTCTTGCTTTTTAAAAAAAAATTCAGATCATCAATGAACTTCGGCAGAGTCTATTTATTGGCGGTGCTTGTTAATCACCATCATGCACAATGTGAACTTTTCATTCTAACGACCTCACAAGGCTTGCGGACGAAACGTTTCATGGTTTTGGATCCGCTCAACTTGTGGTGTTAGCAGCCTAACCTACTCTTATTGATAATGTTATAATCTTTTGTTAGCATAATAAGTTAAAATGAGCCACTAATCAAATATTTATTTCACCTGATTGACTAGAAAGTTGGCTTTACAACACAAAAAAGGAAAAAAAACTGAGCATTTAAAAGTCTGAGAAAGTGCAATGACAGTGTTATTAAACTTGTAGAAACCAAAGAGTCTAGCAACAACCAAAAGCATTTTAAAGTCACGAAAGACCATAAAGCTCAGGCGCGAAGCAGTGTAATGGCAAACGAGATTGTGCAAACGGCAAGACCTAGAATTGCCAAGAAGCCATATTTCCTGCAGAAGAGAGGAACCGAGTTTGTCAATTACTCAGCTAGATACTATATTTTATAAATGTTTGCATGAGGACATAACCAAAACAATTACGCTATGAATGTGAAATTTCAAAGGGAACATTATAAGAAAAACCAAGTCACTAATCATGCCACAGTGCGAGAATCAACAATGCAAAAAAAAAAAAAAAAAGAAACGTCAGCTTTGGTGTTTCGAGCATAAGGTGTGGTTAGTCTTTCGAGTTCAATCTATGGCTTCAATCTTAGGAAGCCATAACTAGTTAAAGCATAAGAAAAAAAAAAGGAAGAGGAAGAAGTAGAAACCCGAGGGTGAGGCGGTTCATAGGATCACCAGTGGAATAGCCTTTGAAGTAGAAGAATCTGCTAACGTTGTAGAGCAAGCCAAGGCCTGCGCAGATGCAAGGGTGCTTCATCCCACCAAGGATCATGAGTAAGAAGTACATTGGCATCATCTCTAGAGAGTTCTGGTGACCTCTCTGCAATTATGTGTTCCAATTACGTCTCACATCTTTAAAAGAAAAGGAAAACAACGTTGAAGAGAATTGAATTAAGAAGAGGGACGGATGGAAACAAACCTGAACACAGTTGAAGAGCTTAGCATCTTTGTTTTCAGACTCGATTGCGTATAGTGTTGGGTAAGCAACTTTGTACCTGCACATCTCTTTTCCCATCAAATCTCTAACACAAACATCATTCTCTATTCGTTTTCCCCCAAAATCGAATCCAATCGAAGATTGAATATACAGAAAAGCTTACACGCAATACAAAGAAATAAACCTTAACTAACATCAACTAAAATTGAAGGCGGAAAAGTAAACAAGAATATGTTGTGGAAACCTCTTGCGAGCTCCGCCGACTTGGAATGCCATCCAGAAATTGAGTACACAGTACAAGACGACGACGATGACCACATATCCGTACTCTTTCGGAAGAAAATCGACAACCGCCATGGATCCTACCTTATCTCTTTTTCCGATGAGATCTATCGTCAAAGTGATATCGAATGCAGAAGAAGAAAATAAGAAACGTTCAAAATTATCTAAACTGCGACGTTTTGGCTAGTCAACGTTCGAAGCAAAGTCAAATCTTGAGCGCTGTTCTAACTTCTAAGAGGGGGTTTATTGGTGGTTGAATTCTAAATGATTTAGAAAATTTAGGGATTCCATGGTTATTGGTTTATGGATTCTTAAAATCTTATTAGAACTCCATGTTATTGGTTTATGAACTTTTGAATTTCTTATAAAATCTTTGGCTAGGGTCCCATATCTCTTCGATTATTCAATTTGATCCGTCTTCGTCTTCTCTTATGAAATTGATAGTTTGTGAGAACGATTACTCCTAAATGCTGCCTTCTCTTATATACGAGAGCTACTGCACGATTGGAGGATTAAGAAGGTTCAGTCTTTCGTAATGAAGTGCAGGACTTTCCGCTATAATTCAAAGGCGTTCCTCGAGAAATGAAGAGCATAGTCCCGTAAGCAGTTATTCAAAAAGTTTAGCTCTTATTAATTTTTTAATTCTATGAAAATTTCTTGTTACTGTCATATGGATTCTCTTTGGTTTTACTCATAAAACCCAACTTTGGAAATACCTTGTATATTGATTATCTTTGGTTTAGATCTTCCTCTGGACTTATGTGCATAAGCAGAAGAAGAAACCCATTTCGCTTTGATCGGGAAACCTTTGAACCCGAGGAAGCAGAACACTCGGGAAATGTTGTCTGCTCTACCAAGATTATGGGGTGTTGCTGATGAAGACGTTGGACGTGCTCTAGAAAACAACAAAATTCAATTTATGTTTAAGCCAGAGGAATCTCTACTCACTGTTTTGCGATGTGGACCTTGGTCCTTTAATGAATGGATGGTGTCCATACATCGCTGGTTTCTTAATCAAACCGACGATGATCTGCAGTACATAACCTTTTGGATTCAAGTTAGAGGAATCCCTCACCAATATCTCACTCAAAGAATGGTGATACACATTGGTCGTGTATTGGGGCAATACATTGAGACAGACTTCCAATGATGACGATGACAATGAAGACGATGGTCCTCCTGGTTTCTCTACGCCGGAACATCATGGTCCGGTGGATCTTGTGATTCCACCAAGTGCTAATCAAAAAGATGCTCATGACTCCACCCCAAATAAGAAGCAAAGAACGGAGTCATCTGTTCCTATGGTAGATTTGTACCCTCTTTGCTATGAGGCACGCCAAGGATTGATATACGAGAAGGTTACTGAACAATTTTCAAAGAGGATGAGAAGACAAGTTTAAACATGTGAAGCCAGACAATGGTTCCAAGCCGCGGATGATCAGAAGGCAAGTTCTTCACGTGCTTCTCCTCCGAGTCAACACAAAACAAATGATCGAGAGTGTACGGTGGGCCACAAGCCACCGGCATCAGGATGAATACAGCCTTTTGGAACTGTCAAGGCTTGAAAGGGTCCTTGACAGTTTGACGCCTAAAAGGGATTAAGGCAACTTTTTCCCGGAAGAACTCTAACGATATAATTTGGGATGTGAGTGCACAATTGAGTTATGATTGTGTACAGTGTGTGTATCCTAGGGGATTAGAGGGCGGGTTAGCATTGTTATGGAACAATAATGTTGATATTGTCATTAACTCTATGGAAGAAGGTATGTTTGATTGTGCTATTAATAATAAGAATGGTGTTTTGTTTTTCACTTGTGTTTATGGGCATCCAGTTTGAGCTTTACATAATCATCTCTGGGAAAAATTACAGAGAATATTAACAACACGTAACCGACCTTGGCTACTCTGTGGCGATTTTAATGAGATTCTAAAACCATACGAAAAGATCGGTGGTCCACTTCGTGAACCATAAAGTATGGTGGATTTCAATCAGATGACAAAGGTTTGTCAATTGCAAGACCTTCCTTTCAGTGGGAACAACATGACATGGTCAGTGAAACGTAAAGGCCATCAGATACAGAGCTGGTTAGACTGAGCTTTTGGTAATGATGAATTCAGAGTTTTATATCCTGCCTCACGTGTAATCTACTTAGAGATGATAAACGGATCATCGACCTGCAATAATTCAGATAAGGAAGACAACGAAATCTGGAAAAATCTTAATGTTTTGATAACCGCTTGATAGATTGTGAAGGTTTCAAAGAGGTAATTATCGATGGTTGGAATTCTACAACGTCGGGTCAAGATAATTCTATTTCTCAGCGTATACGGAAGTGTCGTCATGCTATCTCTCAGTGGAAGAAGGTTAATAATACCAACTCTGCAAAACGAATCAAAGCTTTGACTGCACTTATTGATGAAGCTCATTCTGATCCTCTTTGTTCTCTAAGTGAAATTCACAAATTACTTAAGAAAATTTAACAAGCATATAAGCATGAGGAAGCTTTTTTGGCGAAATAAAAGTCAAATACAATGGTTGAATTATGGAGATCGTAATACCCGTTTTTTCCATGATTCCACAAAAAAACAGAAGAACAATAACCTTAGTGAAGAAGTCTTTGGTAATAAAGAATTAGCAAAGGAGGCACTTCACTATTTTTCTGACATCTTCACTTCCTTGATGCAAGGATATATTTAAGACAGCCTAGGGAACATCAAACCTGTTGTTTCTGATGAATGTAATGCCTACCTTACTAAGGATGTTACATCAGAAGAAGTTAAAGCCAGTGTTTTCTCCATTGCCTCAACACGAGCCTCGGATCCTGATGGGCTTACGACTTGCTTCTACCAGACATATTGGGATGTTGTTGGTCCTGCAGTAATAGAAGAAGTACGGCATTTCTTTAATATTGGAGAGTTCTATACTTATTTGAACCACACAAATTTGTGTCTTATCCCTAAGATAACTAATCCCATCACAATGAAAGACTTCAGGCCGATTGCTCTTTGTAACGTTATGTATACAATAATTTCTAAAATTTTATCATTACGTATGAAGACAATTCTTCATGATGTGATTTCAGAAAACCAAGCTGGTTTTATTCCGGGCGACATATTACTGATAATGTTTTTCTGGCACATGAGATTTTTCATTCACTGAACATGCGTAAACGTGTTTCAGATAATTTCGGGCGACATATTACTGATAATGTTTTTCTGGCACATGAGATTTTTCATTCACTGAACATGCGTAAACGTGTTTCAGATAATTACATGGCAGTCAAAACGGATGTCAGCAAAGCTTACGACCGTATTGAATGGAAATTTCTCAAGGAGGTCATGAGAAAGAAAGGTTTCTGTGAAAAATGGATCATGCTTATAATGCAGTGTGTTTCGTCTGTTTCTTACTCAGTTATGATTAATGGTAGTTCTTATGGACATATGAGTGGCACTCGAGGAATTCGTTAAGGTGATCCCCTCTCTCCAATTCTGTTTATAATATGTGCGGCTGTGTTAAGCTCTATGATACAAAAAGCAAAACATACTCATCAGGTACAGCCCTTACGGCTCAGTATTGGAGGGCCTGCAATCTCACATTTACTTTTCGCAAACGATTCTGTTTTCTTCATCAAGGCAGATCACAGTAATAGTCTGCTACTTCTTTAAATTTTTTTTTTTACTTGACTGAGAGAAAACTTTTTCGTGGTAACTTCTAGGCATCGGTTCCGTCGTGATCATTTTTTACCCAACAGTCAAAGAATGTTTCATAAAATTCGTCCTTTCTCGTAAAAATCTTCCGCAAGAACGTGTTTCCGATCATTTCATATATGGATAGAAATTCTTTTATTCCTTGTATGAGATGAAATATACAAAAAAAAATTATTTTATCTTTACACAAATAGGTTTTGCTTATGCCGTATAGTTTCTCTTATTTTCAGCTTATATTTGCTTAAGGCACAATTTCTAGGAAGATTTTAGCCTCTGATTTTTTCATGACCAATTTTGACAAAGTTAGCACCCCATCTCGTATAATGTGTAATTTGTTGCGAGGCAGTGATTGGCGTGTTAGGTGGAATCAATGGCTTAAAAGGTCCGTTGGCGAAACCAGTTTTTTCTGGAAGTTGATAAGACTGGGGCTGCACCTTGTGAAGGCTGCCTATGTACCCTTGTCAAAGGGATCAAGCCTTTCGTAGTTCGGCTTGGAGTTAAGATTCTTTTAGCGAGACATTTACGGTTTAGTTGTGTGTCGTACATAGATTATCGAGCATGTTGCTGCCGATAGCATTTTATATTGGACCTTTGTCGGCCTCGAGACTAGTCTTGTAAGCTGTTTTCTTTGGATATATGAAGTCGTGATTATCTCTTTTTACAAACGTATAGAGTAGCCATATGCGGAGATGAGAGAAAGAGTGTGAGTTGTCATCTCATTTCTAACACTCAACAGATCGTGATACTTATCATTGTATAAGATGAGAATATTCGAAGGCTTGTGTTCTAGAAGTTTCATAAACGCACAAATATCGACAAAAAGACACATTTTGGAATCTCGTATCGGGTTTAATACTATGACTTGAGATGTTTGAGCTGGGTTTAGGGCAAGACCTAGACCTAGTAAGGGTTTGTGATTATTGTTTCAGCTTACGTTACCCATTGCGTTTTTGACCTGATTCCATCTCGATATTGAAGTCTGTGATTGATAAACCTACTTCCCCTGCCGCTACTTCCAAATCATGCTTCCCCCGACCTGCCGCGAAAACCGTGGACTTTGCGACATTAATTCCTAGTCTTGAGTACCTTGCAAATTCCTGAAAAACTGCAAGGGTGCTATTCAAGGGGCTTGGTATCAAACTTTGTTGTTCAGCATCTTGGACAAGCCAGCCCTTAGAAGGTATCGTTAAAAGATCATCAATTCTTTGTTTACTTTGAATAGAAAATGAACTATTCAATTTTTTTTTGCATTTTCAATTTTTCCATTGAATATCCATCAGTAAAGGCAATGATATCATCCGCGAAGCTCAGATGGATTAGGTTAACCGTCTGACACATTGGGTGGAAACCAATACTAGAAATCACAGCTTTATTTATGAGCTTTGAGAGCACATTACTCACAATGACATACATAAACGAGGAGAGAGAGCATCCTTGCCTGATTCCTCGAGAGCATCCCTGC